AGATAAACATCAAATTTTCATTTTTGGGTGAACTATCCCTTTAAGCAGCAGAGAAGATAATTTCAAGTGAATTATGTACAAGGCCAAGGCTGAGAAGAGAAGCAGAAATTAAATCAAACTTGTATCAGAACAAAAAGAAAGAAAATGATAAAGTAGGAACATGCACATTCTGTATGTCCTGTCATAACTTGAGTCATAACTAGGCCCGCACAGAACACACACACCAATAAAATATACTTTGTAATAATGTCAAATTTGAAGTATTACTTTTAAAGTATGTTTTATATCATTATTTATTTAATAATCTTTTGTCATGCTTAAAAAAACTTATTTTGACGTGTTGACTAACTTACTAAAGCATGTCAAGTATTTTATAATTTAAATTTTTTTGTATGATTTTAACTTTACTTTATTATTCGATATTAGATTTAAGGTTAATATATTTTAATTGCACCAAATTGCAGTCATTACAAATATATTTATCTACATACAAGTTTCTGTAGAAATGACATTAAAGTATATTTAATTTACCATAAATGTTTGTCAGTACATTCAGCATGACACTTTAACCATATTTCAAAAACAATAGAATTATGAAATGACATATATTTACTTGTGTCCTAATTAAGTCGATCACAAATGCACTCAAAGTTCAGATAATTGCATTTAATAAAATTGAATAAATGTAAACTATAATGCATTTTCATGTTAATTGCACTTAATAGGCAATTAAGTGTTGGAAAACACAACGTTCAGTTTGCACTCAAATATATTCCTAATGTAAACATTGATTTCTTAAGCTTTTTTTTTTAAGTGTTTCAGTTCACCAAAAAAATAAATAAATAAAAAAAATTCAAACCTGGCTTATTCAATATTTGGTTTAATATGATAATGCTTTCAGCTGCAACTAAGAGTCTAGTAAAGTATCCTCAGATCAGTTTAACACTCGTCATTTTAACCATGCCATTTTGCATATTTTCTTTTACAAACAGTGCAAAGAATGTCACAAAAGTGTGTGTGTTCTGTGCGGGCCTAGTTATGACTCAAGTTATGACAGGACATACAGAATGTGCATGTTCCTACTTTATCATTTTCTTTCTTTTTGTTCTGATACAAGTTTGATTTAATTTCTGCTTCTCTTCTCAGCCTTGGCCTTGTACATAATTCACTTGAAATTATCTTCTCTGCTGCTTAAAGGGATAGTTCACCCAAAAATGAAAATTCTGTCATCATTTACAAACCCTCATGTCATTCCAAACCTGTATGAGTTGCTTTCTTATGTTGAACACAAAAGAAGATATTTTGAAGATTGCTGGTAATCAAACAGTTGGTGGTTGCCATTGACTTCCATAGTATTTTTTTTTCCTACTATGGAAGTCAATGGCAACCATTCCAACTCATACCGGTTTGGAATAACATGAGGGTGAGTAAATGATGACAGAATTTTCATTTTTGGGTGAACTATCCCTTTAAGCAGCAGAGAAGATAATTTCAAGTGAATTATGTACAAGGCCAAGGCTGAGAAGAGAAGCAGAAATTAAATCAAACTTGTATCAGAACAAAAAGAAAGAAAATGATAAAGTAGGAACATGCACATTCTGTATGTCCTGTCATAACTTGAGTCATAACTAGGCCCGCACAGAACACACACACTTTTGTGACATTCTTTGCACTGTTTGTAAAAGAAAATATGCAAAATGGCATGGTTAAAATGACGAGTGTTAAACTGATCTGAGGATACTTTACTAGACTCTTAGTTGCAGCTGAAAGCATTATCATATTAAACCAAATATTGAATAAGCCAGGTTTGAATTTTTTTTATTTATTTATTTTTTTGGTGAACTGAAACACTTAAAAAAAAGCTTAAGAAATCAATGTTTACATTAGGAATATATTTGAGTGCAAACTGAACGTTGTGTTTTCCAACACTTAATTGCCTATTAAGTGCAATTAACATGAAAATGCATTATAGTTTACATTTATTCAATTTTATTAAATGCAATTATCTGAACTTTGAGTGCATTTGTGATCGACTTAATTAGGACACAAGTAAATATATGTCATTTCATAATTCTATTGTTTTTGAAATATGGTTAAAGTGTCATGCTGAATGTACTGACAAACATTTATGGTAAATTAAATATACTTTAATGTCATTTCTACAGAAACTTGTATGTAGATAAATATATTTGTAATGACTGCAATTTGGTGCAATTAAAATATATTAACCTTAAATCTAATATCGAATAATAAAGTAAAGTTAAAATCATACAAAAAAATTAAAATTATAAAATACTTGACATGCTTTAGTAAGTTAGTCAACACGTCAAAATAAGTTTTTTTAAGCATGACAAAAGATTATTAAATAAATAATGATATAAAACATACTTTAAAAGTAATACTTCAAATTTGACATTATTACAAAGTATATTTTATTGTACTTAAGTGTGTTAAGAAATGAAAGTGTACTCTTTTTAAGGGCACTTAAGCTACCTTTTATTTCATTAATATACTCTCTGCAAGTAAAACTACATTAAAATAAAAAATTTTAAGATCTGAAGTACACGACAAGTGCACAATCAATGCAATTAAATGCACTTCTTTGCAAGCTTCCCAAGCTTTGTCAGAGACCTTCAGGATTTCTGTCCTCCACAAAAAAACATTAACAAGCATGATAGTATGGGACAAATTAACGCAGCAAATTTGCATACTCTGGGTTAATAGTTTGCTCAAATCCTAACCCTCAGTATGAGCTATAATAAAAGTGATACTTGGCATAGCAAACCTCATTAACAAACAAATTCAGCAGAAATCGCCAGTGCTTTCTGTGGAATTCTGTAGGCGTTGATTCTGTGGAGGCCTAGTCATTACCTCGCTCTCAATCCCTGGTGTTTTCTTCAGTATTTACTTCCAATTCACATGTAAACAATACTGACTCTCACAAAGGTTATATGAGAAAAGCCCGACCTTTCTGAAGTGTGTTTGTGTTCCCCTTGTGTCACACACTCTCTCACTGAGCTCTGCTTTCAGCCCTGAGGAAGCACACACGACAGCTACTAATGGTTTACTAATGTGGTTTCCTGAGGACCATCGTAACGCTTCACGTTGTGCCATGGTAAAAGGTTGATTGCGGTTCAAATGGTGCATTACCTGGAAGCTTCAAGGGGTTCTGCTCTTCCACCAATAATTGCCCGAGGTCTCGGCTGTTGATATGGCGACTGTAGAGGTTGCTCCTGGCAACCAGACCCTGATAGCTACAGGATATGAGGAAATGGACAAACAACAGCAATAGAGGGACGAGGAGAAGGGAGGGGAGGAGAGTGAAAATGGAGAAATAAATGAAAAAATGAAAGAAAATGGAACAATAAAAAAATTAATGTGACAGAAAAAAGGAACAAATAAAAACGTAATTAAACATAACTGCAAACGCAAATTCAAAACTCAACATTGTATGAAAACAAATTCCAGTGAAAGAGGACACAGGCAATGATTGTGTAATGTGACAGAGGATTTTTAATCTCATGACAGATTAAAAAACTAGTATGGTGTAATGTTGCAACTTAATGTCTGGTTTTATTTTTGGACATCAGAGTTGCAGTCAAATGCAATGGCTGATATTTTAGGACTTTAAATTTCAAAGCAAGTGGCAAGCGTTTCTCAGAACCATTTATTCTGAGCCATTTTGTACTTTAACCTTTTCAGTGAACACACGTACTTCAGACGGGTTTCTAGATGAGTTTAGTTCATCTTGTTAACTACAGTATAAAATATTTTAAAAAGAAAAACAGAAATCCATATATTCAGCAAGGAAACATTAGATTGATCAAAAGTGGCCGTTAACTTATAATGTTACAAAATATTTCTATTTTATATAAATGCTGTTCTTTTGAACCATCTATTTATCAAAGAATCCTAAGAAAAATGTATCAAGGTTTCCACAAAAATATTAATCAGCACAACGGTCTTCAGCATTGATAATAATCAGAAATGTTTCTTGAGCAGTAAATATTAGAATGATTTCTGAAGGATCATGTGACACTGAAGACTGGAGTAATGATGCTGAAAATTCAGCTTTGCATCACAGGAAAAAAATTACATTTAAAAAAATATTCAAATAGAAAACAGTTATTTTAAAGTAGTAATAATATTTCACAATATTCCTGTTTTTTTAACCTTTATGAGCATAAGCGATTCTTGAAAAAAAAAATGTTTTTAAATCTTGCCTCACCCAAACTTTAGCAAACCTCATTAACAAACAAATTCAGCAGAAATCGCCAGTGCTTTCTGTGGAATTCTGTAGGCGTTGATTCTGTGGAGGCCTAGTCATTACCTCGCTCTCAATCCCTGGTGTTTTCTTCAGTATTTACTTCCAATTCACATGTAAACAATACTGACTCTCACAAAGGTTATATGAGAAAAGCCCGACCTTTCTGAAGTGTGTTTGTGTTCCCCTTGTGTCACACACTCTCTCACTGAGCTCTGCTTTCAGCCCTGAGGAAGCACACACGACAGCTACTAATGGTTTACTAATGTGGTTTCCTGAGGACCATCGTAACGCTTCACGTTGTGCCATGGTAAAAGGTTGATTGCGGTTCAAATGGTGCATTACCTGGAAGCTTCAAGGGGTTCTGCTCTTCCACCAATAATTGCCCGAGGTCTCGGCTGTTGATATGGCGACTGTAGAGGTTGCTCCTGGCAACCAGACCCTGATAGCTACAGGATATGAGGAAATGGACAAACAACAGCAATAGAGGGACGAGGAGAAGGGAGGGGAGGAGAGTGAAAATGGAGAAATAAATGAAAAAATGAAAGAAAATGGAACAATAAAAAAATTAATGTGACAGAAAAAAGGAACAAATAAAAACGTAATTAAACATAACTGCAAACGCAAATTCAAAACTCAACATTGTATGAAAACAAATTCCAGTGAAAGAGGACACAGGCAATGATTGTGTAATGTGACAGAGGATTTTTAATCTCATGACAGATTAAAAAACTAGTATGGTGTAATGTTGCAACTTAATGTCTGGTTTTATTTTTGGACATCAGAGTTGCAGTCAAATGCAATGGCTGATATTTTAGGACTTTAAATTTCAAAGCAAGTGGCAAGCGTTTCTCAGAACCATTTATTCTGAGCCATTTTGTACTTTAACCTTTTCAGTGAACACACGTACTTCAGACGGGTTTCTAGATGAGTTTAGTTCATCTTGTTAACTACAGTATAAAATATTTTAAAAAGAAAAACAGAAATCCATATATTCAGCAAGGAAACATTAGATTGATCAAAAGTGGCTGTTAACTTATAATGTTAGAAAATATTTCTATTTTATATAAATGCTGTTCTTTTGAACCATCTATTTATCAAAGAATCCTAAGAAAAATGTATCAAGGTTTCCACAAAAATATTAATCAGCACAACGGTCTTCAGCATTGATAATAATCAGAAATGTTTCTTGAGCAGTAAATATTAGAATGATTTCTGAAGGATCATGTGACACTGAAGACTGGAGTAATGATGCTGAAAATTCAGCTTTGCATCACAGGAAAAAAATTACATTTAAAAAAATATTCAAATAGAAAACAGTTATTTTAAAGTAGTAATAATATTTCACAATATTCCTGTTTTTTTAACCTTTATGAGCATAAGCGATTCTTGAAAAAAAAAATGTTTTTAAATCTTGCCTCACCCAAACTTTTACACAGTACATATTTTTCCATATAGCATTCTCTGACATTGATAAGTCCTATCAGTCAACCACTTGTCAGGAGCGAAGCCCTAAGGCCAAGACATAAATCTGGACTTAAAAATTAAACCAAGGTCCTGAGGAGCTCCTGACCATTAAGTGTAGAATCTAATACATAACATCTCATATCCCTTATGTTCTGTTAGAATAATCTGTTATATGACAAATTAATTAATTGACAAGTGATTAAATAATACCACCTATCAGTTTTTCAGTGGCAACTTTTATTACTTGCTGCTCAGGACAGAGGATGTTTGACAGTTGAGGGTTAACACTATAGTAAATTGATCAGTAAAAAAAACTCTATTCTATTATCTAAAACACTCCTTACTGTAAAGGGTATGGAAAAGACCAAAAGAGATTCCAATTTAATTACAAATGTGTATCAAATAATTTCACAGGCAATCGTATCATTCATACACTCACAAGGCAGAAAGCAAAATCTGAAAATTTGAGTTCAGTCAAACAATGAAAAATTCTGTTATGACTTTATCAAGCTGCTTTCTACTCACAGGCTGTTATTTTAGCTGTGGAATACAAATAGAATTCTACAAAATCTTCACACCATTCTTCTGAAGATTCTTCAAAATTCTCCTTTTGAGTTCCACAGAAAAATTAACAAAAGTGTGAGTAAAGAACGACATCAGTTTTCACTTTTGGATGAACTCTCTTTTTAAAAGAATAGTTTACCCAAAAATAAAAATTTTCAGAAAATGTACTCGTCCTCAGGCCATCTAAGATATAGATGAATTTGCTTCTTCATCAGAGCAGATTTGGGGAAATTTAGCATTGGATACTCACCAATGGGTACTCTGCTGTGAATGGGTGCCGTCAGAATGAGAGTCCAAACAGCTGATAAAAACATGAATATTATGAAATACCATGGAGAGAGGACTCGTATTTTAGCCGAATGCAGTTAAAAGTTCAGTTAAAAACATTTTGATGGATTTGTTCCTTACAAACACAAACGCTTTTTCACTTCACAAGATGTTAATTGATGGACTGGAGATATTTTTATCAGCTGTTTGGACTCTCATTCTGACGGCACCCATTCACTGAGCAAAGGACCCATTGGTGAGCAAGTTATGTAATGCTAATTTTCTCCAAATCTGTTCCCATGAAGAAACAAATTCATCTACATCTTGGCTGGCCTGAGGGTTAGTAGATTTTTTTGCAAATTTTAATTTCTGGGTGAACTATTCCTTTAATAGGAACTAGCTAAGAAGTTTAAGACAATGAAGTTAAAGACTGAGGGTCAATGAAAGCTGAGCCTAGATCTATTTAAAGAGCTAGCGTGGAATGAGAGAATGAGAAAAAGAGAGAAAGCATGTGGTTAAAAGGAAACAATAGTTGAAACTCATCAAATAAAGTGAGGGGTTCGACAACAAAATGAGCATGTCATAATTGGGGAAGTCAATGCATAAAACGAGCATTTCATAATCACAGATGAAAGGAGGAGGAGAAGAAAGAGAGAGGAGAGGAGGAGAAATGTTTAGCGATTCTCCAAAAGAAAGTGGTCAAGGCCGCTTACGTGTTAGAAGAATAAACAGACTGCGTATCTGACCTTTATGCAGTACACAGTGATACACTAATGATGCACTAATGAGCTGAAGTCACATTCCTGCCACCAAGTCGACCATGCACTCATCTAACACAGGAAGTTGCTCATAGTGAACATGAACGACCTTAGTGTCTCTTCACATTCATTCCCACAGAGCAAATGCTCTCAGCCTCCAAAATAAGCCCCAGATGGAAAAAGCGAAGAGGATGCGATGTAAATACTTGCAAGCAAAGTGCTGGATTTAGACTTAAGTATGTTGCAACTGGCCGTGAGGTGTGTTTGAGATGCACCTGGTGCGTTTTGCCCTGCAGCTGTCGTTGAGCTGGGAGAAGGGGGTCCGGGGGGCCGCGGCGGGGCGGAGCAGGGCCCGGCTGGGGGAGGATCCCACACTGAGCGAACGGGATTGCGGAGATGACGGAAGCAGAGGGGGAGAGTGGGGGGGACCCGCGGGGTGAACGAATGGCCAGGGGAGAACCCTCTGCTCCTCCCGAACCACTGCGGAAGAGAGGAAGTGGAATCATAAAGATTTATGAATTATGATTCCTCTTACTAATTCCTTAACAGTTCCACTTATGATTCTTTTAGTACTTTTAAGGAATAGATATGTGAAAAAGTGAAATGCAATTCCATTGCCTCACTATAAATTACTGGCTCATTACAGTAATTTGTTCAGAAATCAGACTACACTGGTTGTGCTGTATGTTTTTGATTCTCTAAAAAGAATGTGTTCAGGAATCAGACTATACTGATTGTGTTGTATGTTTTTGATTGGCTAAATGTAACTGGCTCATAAAAGCCATTTGTTTGGTAATCAGACTACACAGGTTACACTATATGTTTCTGATTCATACCTGGTTCATAAAAGTTATTCATTCAGGAATCAGACAACACTGGTTGAACTGTATGTTCTGGTTCATAAGAGTCATTCATTCAGGAGTCAGACTACACTAGTTATACGTTTTGAATTCAATAAAAAAAGGACTCATTACAATCATTTGTTCGACATTCAGACTTCATTGGTTGTACTGTATGCCTCTGAATCACTAAACAGAACCACCTTGTAATAGTCATTTGTTCAGGAATCTGATTATACTAGTTTGCGTTTTGGTTTTTAACTTAGAATCATTTGTTAGACAATCAGACTTCATCAACTGTCCTACACTCTTAAAAATAAAGGTGCTTCAAAAGGTTCTTCAAGCGATGCCATAGAAGAACCATCTTTGGTTCCACAAAGAACCATTCAGTCAAAGGTTCTTTAAAGAACCATCTCTTTCTTACCTTTTTATAATCTGAAGAACCTTCTTTCGCCACAAAGAACCTTTTGTGAAACAGAAAGGTTCTTCAGATGTTAAAGGTTCTTTATGGAACCATTTAGACAAAAAGGTTCTTCTATGGCATCGTGAAGCACCTTTATTTTTAAGAGTGTATCTGCTTCTGAATCACTAAAAAGTACCACCTCGTAATAGTCATTTGTTCAGGAATCTGAATCACTTCCACATGAACCGTTAAAATGCCATTCCAGTATTTTGAAGAATGACACCAGCTCTGAATAAGAACAGATTTTTTTGTTCCACCTTGTTACCTGTATACATGGTGACTGGATTGAGACATGGATGTAGATACTCACAGTCCCCTGATTACAACCCTAAAATGTCTAAACTAGGAGTGAGAGTACTTGCTCCTTGCAAAATGCCTGTGATGACTGAAAAAAGCACTTTCCTAAGAACTCTAAAGTAACTGATGGACCAAATCAAGACATTTAATGAATAATGGGAGGCCTGTTTCCAGCTGAAACTATTTATTACAGCGGCTGGATAATGTCAGTATTCAGCTAGTTGGTGTTAATGTCAGCTACTAGGGTCTGTATTGTGCCAACCGGTTAAATATCCAACACACGGAGCCTATGAGTAACCCACCTTCTCTTTCCATTAGTGAATACGGTTTGATCTCTCCCTCTGGCTTTTTTGGGTGAACTTTTCTCAGTTGGACCACTGTAAAAAAGAGCAGTGTGGTCAGAAAGAGCCAATGGAAACAACAGGTAGAGGATAAGTCTGGAGTTCAGCAAGCAGTTAAACGGCACACACTGCATTCTTCACAGATATTCACATCCATAAATATCCATGGGCATAATGCATATATCGATTATCATTCCACTGCACTTTGGGGAAAACATATAGCACTTATCTATAATTGGATTTTAAAGGGGAACAGCAAGGGAGTTGTTGGGACTGATTGATGTGGGCAGAGGTTATGGGGGTCTGTTTGAGTGCAAAGGAAGAGTCTATAATGAGTGGACTTGAGTATACAATAAAGGAGTGATAAGTAAGGTGGAAGCTGGGTGACGGTGGGGTAGGGGAGGGGAACAATAGATATTCAATGTCCTTACAAAAATCCATACATCCCCTGATCCGTCGAAGGGGAGGGAGGTGTTCCTTGGAAGATGAGACAAAAGCACTTGAACAATAAGTGTCTTGAGTTGTTTGCATGGTAAACCCAGTGTAGGGTAGCTATCAACTATAAACAGCCCAAATCTGGGCTCGGTAAGTCATTTATACACATAAATAAATGCATTGGAAATGTTTTTGCCAGGTACAAAGATGACATTTTATAGAAAACAAAATAACAGGTCATGATTTAGATCAGGAAATACACTTGATTTAAATATAGAAGCACTAAAAATATGAAACAATAAAAGAACCAAAAGACAGCTATGAGCATTATGGACAAGCACAACAAAGACAGACTTTTCTTCAATTAATTGTGGAATCTTCTAAAATGGCATTTGATTGCAAGGCAGCAAAAGAATATTGCTAAAGTTTTAGAGAAACTACTAGGTTCTGGACTTTTTTTCTGCATTACATTTCAATCTAAAGTTACTCACCAGTTGACTGATAACTATATATGGAACAAGAATGATAACCTAGCCCTGAGTCATGTAAGTGAAATCGGTGATCCTCTCTGAAATAAAGGAAAAAAAAGTTTCATCTCAATCCGAAGCCATCAAGATGAAAGAAAAAATAATAATAACTTTTTCTGTGACAATAGCAGTTTTACAGAGAGACATAGATTAGTTGTACAACTAGTGTTTGTCACCAACATGCAGGGAATAACAACTAAATAATCCCACTGTCATATGATTTAAATAAATAGAATAGTTTTAATTAATTACTTTTAAGTATTATTATAGTATAATTCATATTTTCAATTAGCTTATATTTTTAGATTTTAGTTTGAAGTTTTACTAATTGTTTGAACTTTTGACATTTTTAGTAGTTTTTTATATTGAATTAATTTTATTATTTATTATTAATTCATATTTGTTTAATTTTAATTCATTTATTTGATATTTTATATTTAGTTCAGTTTTAGTTGCAGCATTTTGTGTACTTCAAAATGTACTTAAACTTTTACTTTTAAGATTTCCATCTAACATTTATATTTTATTTTATTTTCAGATTCATTTCAGTTAATGAAAAAAAATTTTTTTAATATTTTTTAGTTAACAATAACAGCAAGGATTAAAATATTGCAAAATACAGTTTCATGGCCAAGATAAATATTTATAGCCAGTATTTCCTTGTCACTGTCAGGTGTAGCATAAATGGACTCTGTACGTTAAGTGGTTCGAGCTGAATTACTTGGAGAAATTTAAGGAAGAAAAGAAGAATAAAAAGAGGAGGAATTTCAATACAGTGCTGCCTTGCATGTACTATAATGAGGAGAATGGGAGGTTGCCCTGAGAGAACGACTCACTGAACACTGGCACAGATCCAGAACAACATTCCAAACCCACAGAAGAAGTGATGCAGTCAGGCATTACCTGATCTACTCTGGAAGAATCCACTGAACACCACAAAGTTATTCACCTGAGAGGAACAAGTGTGAAGAAATTAGACAATTCATCATAACAGTCAAGTTTTGCAACGGTCATTTACACACCTACTTTTATGAGGAAAACACTATCGTATAAAGTCTGTATTGTGTGCAAATAGAAACGCTCACACGTCATGCACATAATCCATATCAGGATTTACACCCAAGACATAACATGTTATTATAGTATCTGATGAAGTCGTTTTCATCAAGTAGTGTAATCTAGTTTGTTTCAAGTACAAGCCTTTAAAATCTCACTGGCCCAAAAATCTCACTCCACAGAACACCAAACATGCTCTGATTGGCTGTGATTGTTTTGCATCATGCAGCACTTTCACTTTAAAAGGGAGATCATACCTGAGGCACACTGTTCTTGAGATCATAGTGCTTTTCTAGAAATGACAGAAATTTAGGAGAAGGTCTATCATACGCCATCTGTTCAGGCTCCACCCGTTTGTGCTGTTCAATCAGAGGTTATGTTCAGGACAGGAAACCATGAGTCACAAAAACAAGCAGGACTCTTTACTTAGTAGCAAATACCAATGGGTCTTTACACCAATCTCTCATGTGAACATATTAAAAAGGAATAGCTCACCCAAAGATTAAAATTCTGTCATCATTTACTCACTCTCATGTTGTTCCCAAACTGTCACAAAATTAAATTTTTTTCAGAAATCACAAAAATTGATATTTGGAAAAATGTTCCTGCTGCTCTTTTCCACACAAGCAAAAACTCCAAAAAACAGCAGAAAAGCAGTCCATACAACTAATGCGCTATATTCTATGTATACAACATCTTTGTCTGAGAAATACCCCAAAATATACTCTCGTTTTAATTAAATTATTCAATGGAAATCTGAATAAAATGCAAGTGTTTTAACAAAAATCTTACCCTTCACCATAGTGCTAAAAAAAAATTTGCACTTCTGCAAAATCAACCTTGCCGTGTAGCATTCAGCAAGGTTGAAACACACAAAATGCAATGCTGTACAGCATCGTTGACATCCAACCTGGTCTTGATGGGGCACGTTTGAATATGTGCACTTGCGAATGAGTTTTAATGGTGAAGGGGGAAATGATCTGGGAATAAAGAATTACATTTCAGCTTGTTCAGACTTGGAACAAAGAGAATGAATTATATCGACCACTTTCATGATACTTCATTGATGCTTTTTGTTGCTTGTTTTTATTGTATGGTAAAAAAAAAAAAGCAGCATGAACATTCTTTGAAACATCTCCTTTTGTGTTCCACGCAAGCAAGAAAGTCTCATGGTTTGGACTGAAACGAGGGAAGGTAAAATGACAGGATTTTTCTGTAAACTAGTCCTTTAATACATTTAGGCCGCTGACAGACACTCACTTTCAGCATGAAGTCAAAGAGCTCGAGCCCGTAGCCATGCCTCTGCAGTGTCTCGGTCACATAAAAATCCAGCACACACAATGGCTCGGTCTCCAAATGCGCCCCCCGTTGGTCCTGGATGCAATGACAACATACTGTAAATCACTGATGCATCAAGTTTAAAACGATGTAATTACCAACTCAATAATGAGCAAACACTTACAAGTAAAAACAGCTTCTTGTAGCCAACCTTCAGAAACCCAAAAATAACACCCCTCCCACTGGAAAAGCAAAAGACAGGAAGAGGGCGTCGAAGATTGTTATTAACAGCAGATGAGGATGTGTTTATATGTAATGGAAAAACAGGAAAGAGAGAGGCCAGCTGTATTGACATGTAAATAGATTAAATCTGAAGTATAGGCTGCGGGGAGGGATAGAGAAAGCGAGCGAACCCGTTCTGTTCTCCATCTTTCAGGAGGTAGAGATGGTGTCTGTTGGCCTGGAGCTTTGCAGCACTGGTTATAGGAGCAGGCAGCTGCTGGGCCTGAGGAGATACACACACACACATGACATGATGACAGGCTGAAACTGACAGTGAATGACATCTGCACGCTCAAAACAAGACAAAACACAGTCATTATTACCTTAGAGGAGGCTTTGCCCAGCTCATCTATAACTGAGCTGATCTGAAGAAGAGGATCTGGTCTGGAGAACAAAAACCAGGTATGTTAGGAGTCTCACACACAGAAGATGTAAAAATGTGAATTTGCATATGATTCCAGTTATGCAAGTCATAACGGATGAGTACACATTTACAATGCATAACTGTTTGGTTTACAATTTGGAATCATATATAGCTGTGCTATACATTTTAACAGGTTTTTCAATAGCTGACGCTGACATCAAGGTGGTCAATGGCTTGATATAATGAAATATACATGTAAAGACCCCATGAAATCTTTGACGAAAGGAGTTTTTGTCCTGTGTTGTTGACATATTACATATTAAAACATTTGTGTGGGACATATCAAATGGCTTGTCCTATTTGTTTAAATAGCCAATGGGGTGTTGTTACGTCACAGCTGTGAATCATGATTTGTTCCAAGGGTAGGTAGAGCAATGGTTCTCCACCAGGGGACCGCGGGGCATCTGCAACTTCCAGGGGGCCCCAGTAAGTAGTTATATTAATATAATCTTAATAAAAAATGTTGATACAAAAAAATTTATCAATGTAGATACAACATTAAATTGACTTATACACATTTTATTTTATTATTTTTGAGTTTATATATGAGATATTAGCTTAGATATGAGGGCCTTTGAATATTATCTTGGACAAAAGAGAGCCTTGGAGTCCAAAAGACGAGGCTGAATCCAGCTTCTTATTCGCAGCTTCTGATGGACGCTTTCCGTTCCACCTTAAAAGATGTGATGCTTCCACGTCAGTCAGCTTCGCTCAGCTAAGGGACCGTGCAGCCTTTTCTCTTTTTCATGCTTTTTTTAAGGGATTGTGTTGCTTTTGTGTCTATTTTCAAAATAAACGAACAATAAACTATTTTGAGACGCAAATAGCAATGCTTTATAAGCAACTATGGACTGTAAAAATATAAAGGCACATAAAATATAATTACAGTATTTTTTTAATTATGGAACATGTCATCAGCTCTACTTACGGTCCGTGTGATTTTTCTCTTATTCATTCATTTAAAAATAATAATTCAAAGATTATTACAAACTTCAATATCCCGAGGTGACTAGAGATTATGCCAGCTACAGCATGGATCCAGAAAGTAGGCCTACAGTTTTTAAGGTAGTACAAATTACAGTATTCACAAACATGTATGCATTTAAGCAAAATTAGTGTGCACTTTAAAACAATGATAGCATGATCATTTTGTATAATCATCCATGTTTGATGTTCAGGAGTCCTTGCAGAGGTAGGTGTCATCTCCTCAAAGATGTTGGGTCATCTGAAGTCTTCATAAGAGGCTGGATCCAAGCTGTAGCTGGCATAATCTCTTCAATAATGAAAAAAACACTGTAATTATATTTTATGTGACCTTATATTTTTACAGTCCATTTTTGCTAACATAGCAGTGTTATTTGCGTTTCAAAATAGTTTATTATTCTTTCGTTCTGAAAATAGACACAAAAGCAACATAATCACTTAAAAAGCATGAAAAAGAGGAAAAGCCGCACGGCCCCTAGTTGAGAGTGAATAAGAAGCTAACTGACACGGAAGCGTGCGTCTTTTAAGGTGGAACGGATAGTGTCAATCAGAAGCAGCGGATAAGAGCTGGATTCAAACTTCTAAAGAGCATCTGATTCGATTAAAATCAATATGCAACTTGAAATGGGACTTGTCACAGCACTTACATATTGTTGCTTGTTTTGTTAGTTTTGATTGATTCTATTGTCCTATAATTTGGAAGTCATTTTGGATAAAAGCGTCTGCTAAATGATTAAATGTAAAAGACTAATTTTGATTTCATTGTAATGTTGGCAAATTGAATACTCAAAATACTGGTTAAATAAAAAAATATTTTTGGTGAATTTTAAAATTCATTTAAAATCTATAATTTCCGTATTTATTGGAATGTATGCTGTACAGTGCTGCTTATATATATATATATGCAGAAAACGCACCACAAATTCCTTCATGTTATCAATAAATCTATGGGAGGAATGGCTTTAGCTCAGAAAATATGCAATTCATAACCTGCTTCTATTAGAAATGCCCCTTCACTTTGATTTAAGAAACTGCTCAAACACATCTTTTCAGTAAAGTTTAGAATATTTAACTATTATTGTTATATATATATATATAATTATTTGATTGTCTTTCTAATGCAATGTAGCGTTTTACGTACAAGAAAAGTGCATTACAAATCAAATGTATTCTTAAAATATTTGTATTGTATTATTATCATAATATTGATTTATATTACATTTAAAAAAAAATGTTTATCCATTATAAAAAGTGTATTATTATAAGCAATCTATCTATAGCACGGTGAGATTTCTTATCAAGTCAAGTCTGCTTTATTGTCAATTCTTCCACATGTACAGCACATACACACAGAGAATTGAAATTGCGTTACTCTCAGACCCTTGGTGCATACAGATAACATAAATACAGATAGGTACAGATTAAATACAAAATACAAAATACAACTATACAAATATACAAATAAGGTAAAATGTAATATATATATAAAGCACAAGGCATATGGCAGATATTGTGTGATTACAGTGATGTCTTGCTGAATCAGCATCGTTCAGATTAAACCAAAGGCAGATTCAATCAGACTCAGGTCAGATTTGTTTTTTACTCAGGGCCGCATTTGCATCCTCTGGCCTCAAGCTCAACATACAGCAATAGGCTTATCATTACAGGAAAAAGATGACCTGGACCAAATGCAACATTTAGCCTAATAAAACCACATCCTAAACCCCCACTGCTAGCACAATGCACGACAACAGTGTCAACCACTGTTACAAGACAAAAGCAGTGCATGCTGCACACAGATCACACCCATCTGTCCCAGCAGCACACATTAAAGCAGACATTACCTCCCATGCGCTTTCCGACCTGCACTCAAGCTGTTATCCAGCACAGTGATTCTCTCGGGGAAAAGCGCGTTCAGGTCGAAAGGGAAATCCATTGTAAGAACAGATCTGGACTCTTAAGACAATGCACTAGTAATGCCCTGCTGCAGATTCAGACGCATATGGCAAGCCGTTTTAACATGTATGACAGCGCCAGTCGACTCTCGCTGCAGCAGTGGGCTGGTTTAAAGGCACAGCTTCTGTGTTGTGTTGTGTTTGTGTCACTCTCTTCATTCACTCCGCTGGAGGAGGAGTACACCGTGCACACGCCTGCAGGAGAGTTTCTACTTATATTTCCATAAATGTAAACATAAAAACCTTTCATTTAGACAGTGGCAGAAATCTGCGGCTTCAGAAGACTTATTTCCGTTTCCTCTTGGCAACGACGCATAACTTTGTGCTGCATAGCTAGCAACCAAACATATCTATTATATATTGCAGCCAGTAGATATGATCGTGTAAATACAGCAATAGTTGTACTCTTTTATATTTATATTTCTTTTGATATTTTTCGTAGATATATATTTTTATATATTTCTGATTTCCCCTGGCAGCTTTTTAAGAACATTTAACTTGATCTCTTATTATATTTTTAACAACATTTAATTTCCAGCATGCTGTAATGTCCCATCTCACAATAAAAAGTGCATGCATCATTTCGTTTAAATAAATTATAACGAAGAAAAAAATAAAATAAAATAATGCAACATCTGCACAAAATATGCTTGTCTTTTCATGCAGGCAGATATTTCGCTACCCTGACTGCAGCATTAGGACCCTGTTAAATGCCATTCTGTGGATGCATGCGTGCGTGCGTGCAGCAGTTATTGAGAGAGCGATGAATGACCTGTATTGTTATTATATTTTAATTTTTTTGTATCGCTTACCCCAAAACACAGTTCAGTGCTTTATATTTAAGCTTGCTAAGAAGATCCGACTTGGCTCGTGCTCGAATGCGCCATTAGTCCACAGATCAACATGCGTAGCCCAATATGACTTGGTAATATATTACCTTCAATCAGACTCAGGTCAGATTTGTTTTTTACTCAGGGCCGCATTTGCATCCTCTGGCCTCAAGCTCAACATACAGCAATAGGCTTATCATTACAGGAAAAAGATGACCTGGACCAAATGCAACATTTAGCCTAATAAAACCACATCCTAAACCCCCACTGCTAGCACAATGCACGACAACAGTGTCAACCACTGTTACAAGACAAAAGCAGTGCATGCTGCACACAGATCACACCCATCTGTCCCAGCAGCACACATTAAAGCAGACATTACCTCCCATGCGCTTTCCGACCTGCACTCAAGCTGTTATCCAGCACAGTGATTCTCTCGGGGAAAAGCGCGTTCAGGTCGAAAGGGAAATCCATTGTAAGAACAGATCTGGACTCTTAAGACAATGCACTAGTAATGCCCTGCTGCAGATTCAGACGCATATGGCAAGCCGTTTTAACATGTATGACAGCGCCAGTCGACTCTCGCTGCAGCAGTGGGCTGGTTTAAAGGCACAGCTTCTGTGTTGTGTTGTGTTTGTGTCACTCTCTTCATTCACTCCGCTGGAGGAGGAGTACACCGTGCACACGCCTGCAGGAGAGTTTCTACTTATATTTCCATAAATGTAAACATAAAAACCTTTCATTTAGACAGTGGCAGAAATCTGCGGCTTCAGAAGACTTATTTCCGTTTCCTCTTGGCAACGACGCATAACTTTGTGCTGCATAGCTAGCAACCAAACATATCTATTATATATTGCAGCCAGTAGATATGATCGTGTAAATACAGCAATAGTTGTACTCTTTTATATTTATATTTCTTTTGATATTTTTCGTAGATATATATTTTTATATATTTCTGATTTCCCCTGGCAGCTTTTTAAGAACATTTAACTTGATCTCTTATTATATTTTTAACAACATTTAATTTCCAGCATGCTGTAATGTCCCATCTCACAATAAAAAGTGCATGCATCATTTCGTTTAAATAAATTATAACGAAGAAAAAAATAAAATAAAATAATGCAACATCTGCACAAAATATGCTTGTCTTTTCATGCAGGCAGATATTTCGCTACCCTGACTGCAGCATTAGGACCCTGTTAAATGCCATTCTGTGGATGCATGCGTGCGTGCAGCAGTTATTGAGAGAGCGATGAATGACCTGTATTGTTATTATATTTTATTTTTTTTGTATCGCTTACCCCAAAACACAGTTCAGTGCTTTATATTTAAGCTTGCTAAGAAGATCCGACTTGGCTCGTGCTCGAATGCGCCATTAGTCCACAGATCAACATGCGTAGCCCAATATGACTCGGTAATATATTACCTCCACTGTTTTGCAGATCATATTTACTTAAGCTGAACATTGATGTTTTGGGAAACCAAATTTCAGAGAATGCACCGAAGCTGCAACAATGTCCCAGTAACGCAAGTATGAGACTACGGCACTAATGTTTTCGAAACTGCGTAAAGTAAATATAATAAAGAAACTAAAAATAAATAAATGCATTCAATTTAAAATAAAAAGATAAACAATGTATTTAAATAAGTACATAATACATTTACTGTACTAAAAATGTAACCGAAAACTATGTAATAGAAACTGAATACTTTGCAAACAAATACGGTATAAATATGGTCTTTATACATATAAATATATAGCTGATAAACTTCAGAATGGTGGTCCCTCTAACCCTATTTGGAGGTCTGTGACATCTGAAAGATTGAAAACCCCTGTTGTCTATTATTGCATGCAATGTTGAATCATTAGAGTCTGTGATTTCCTCATGAAGCTCTTCGCAGTGCACTGAACACATGCAGTACAGCTTGTGACTGAGCAGAAGTGGCTTGGATTTTGTCTAAATGTTAAAGTAATTATTTTTACAGGTTGGATGGGAGGAGCAGATGTTGCCAGGCAGCTGATGTCAACGGCTGACGATCAGTAGGTAAGAACTAGTTGATGCTAATGAAAACCTCAAATAATTAGTGCTTTTAAAAGCATGGTGTCTTGTCTATTATTGCATGCAATGTTGAATCATTAGAGTCTGTGATTTCCTCATGAAGCTCTTCACAGTGCACTGAACACATGCAGTACAGCTTGTGACTGAGCAGAAGTGGCTTTGAATGTCTCTAAATGTCTAGATACATTTACAGGTTGGATTCCAGCAGGATGGCTGATGGCAGCGGTTGACGACTAGTGGGTAAGAGATTGTTTCTTATGCATATGAGTTTGCAAGTATGGCCCATGATAATCTCTAACAATTAGCGTTTATTTTCAAGCTTTTCAACTAAGGATTTGAAGCCAACTTAGACGTGGTCTCCAGCCCATGAATCAACACGACGGTTGGTGTCCGGACAGCGCTGATGCTTTATCAGTGATGTGCAGTGATGATTCAATAGACTAGAGTCTCTGATGACAGCATGAAGCTCTTCACATTTCTCTGAGCACAGCTTTTGATTATTAAAACGTGTTTATTGTTACTAAGAACTTCTAGTTAATGTTGGATTTTATTTGTATCTTTTTTTTAGGTTGCCATGATGCCAGAATGATGTGCCAATGATGAGCATATTCCTTTGAATCTGTCCCTGTGTAAGTACTGGCCCAGTAAACTTACCTTTGGTCATAATTGGGTGTTAATGATGAGCGCGTTGTTCGGTTCCACTGAAACTCAATGAAGTAACTTTCTCGCGGCGCACTGAAACACTGACAGGCAACTAATACACTTATTTTCCCCCTTTGTAATCTAATACACGCGTTTTCTTTCAAGGACAGAAGTTGGTGCAATGGCAGAAGAGTTGTGGTGCCCGGTTTGCAGCACAATGGTGAACTAAAGCTCCTCTGTAGTTATTGTAACTTATACACTTGTGTTTCTATGTCATTCCAAGGACAGTTTGAGAAAGTAACTGCTTGTTTTTGACTTCTCAGTTCTGTGTGTATGCTGCTTTTTCTAAAAATGTACAGTTTTCTTTTACATTTAATAAAAATCACTATTACAGCTCAATATGAAGTAATTGGGGGTTTTTTTATGGGAGTGGCGGGGCTATCTTGTAGTTTTATGCCTTAATCTTATTCATGCTGTTGGATACGGTCAAATATTAGTGCAAATGCTTTTGGGAGTCTTTTTAAAAGTACATAACTTGCATGCCATGTCGCTGATTTACACCCTATACATGATTTATATTTAAAAATGGTGTCGTGAGTAAAACTATATGAAATGGGTTATCATGAAATTCTGATATGCTATCTAAATGTTTGAAATATATTTGAAGATTAAGAATCAGTCAGTATAGGCTCTAATTTTTATTTATGGGTCTTTTGAAGCATTCGTGTTCAATGCATCACACAGGTGCACTTGATGAATTCGACATGCCATTCCTCTCTTCAGCTGCTGTTTATTAGGAATAGCTAAGGACTTTTATTTTGGAAAGAGTTCAGTTACTTGGTGGCTATTGTCAGATTTGACTTCACTCTATTTAACTCACTTTCGGTATACGCTTATACATCTTTTTTTACTACTAGCCTACCTGTTGTTGTAACAAAATCAAACCCACGCTTTGGAAATATATAAATGTTAATAGTTTACACGGACTGCCACACATCTGCAGAGCGAAGGTCAGCGGGTCAGCGATGCTTCTGTTCAGCACACAGCAGTGCGTAGCGACGCCCCGTTTGTGAACGAATCGTCCTGTTGAGTCGGATCTTTTCAATGAATTTGTTGTCGAGTCAACAACTCCAACTCATTGAACCGAGAACACATTGAAAGAGACTGGCTGAATTCTGAACCTTAGCATATATATTAGCGTATTTCTTTTACTATATGAAGTAAAAGTTGTGTGGTATTCCGTATTAAAAGCTTTCTAGCTAAACCTGGCATTGTACACTGAATATTGTTGGCTCTGTGAGGAATTGCTTGTCGCTTGGCATAAAAAGCGTCAGCTAAGTGCATAAACATAATAAAAAGGTAAACGGCATCTATTCCAGCTAGTCTCTCTCATACATGTATGATTCGTAACGAAATACTCGTAAGGAACAGCAATACGTGGCTTTATTATTGTACGGCTTTATTGGGAATATCAGGCAGCACGAGTTTAAAGATTCACTGAATTGATTGGTTGAACCAGTTCTTTCAAATGAACCGTTTGAAAGAACCGATTCGCCGAAATGAGCCGGACTTCCCAAGACAAGCATTACTAGACAAGCAAACCAGCTCGCACACAGCAGAGACTAAGTTATCCGTCAAAACTCCGTGAATCTGTTGAAATTAAACTAGACTGCATCTTCGCACTTTGTCGAGCTGTTTAGGTGCTGAAACGGTTTAACCTCGAGCACGTATGCGCCGGGTGCTAATGGACCGGAATGTGAAGCTGGCTTCGATGAATGAACTCAAATGTTTTTGCAAGTGAAGTCTGGAAGATGTAACTGCGTGTCCTTACTGCAGTCGTATAGAACTGAAGATTTGGGGTCGCAGGTATGTTTGTTTCTCCGGTCCACATCGACACAGTTTAGCGTTTAAAGTTTCGGAGTCGCTCGGCTAGTTCAGACATGCTAACCGACGCCGTTTCGCCTGAGGAAAATGCTTTGAGAGCTCAGAAATAAACGAAACCCCATTACCACAGTAAGTTTGTTTTGTTTTAATTTTTAATACAAATTATATTCTTTTCCTGCCATGGAGTGATTTGCACGGGTGTGGCCGTCAGATGTTTTCTGGTTCATTTGCTTTAATACAAACACGCCTTAATACAGGTCTGTTGAGGTCTCATTGTGTAGATGCCTTCTTATACTTGTAGCGATGTAACACTTTATATGTCGGAATAAAGGGACACTCAACGTCGTTTTCTGACTGGCTTCGATGAATGAACTCAAATGTTTTTGCAAGTGAAGTCTGGAAGATGTAACTGCGTGTCCTTACTGCAGTCGTATAGAACTGAAGATTTGGGGTCGCAGGTATGTTTGTTTCTCCGGTCCACATCGACACAGTTTAGCGTTTAAAGTTTCGGAGTCGCTCGGCTAGTTCAGACATGCTAACCGACGCCGTTTCGCCTGAGGAAAATGCTTTGAGAGCTCAGAAATAAACGAAACCCCATTACCACAGTAAGTTTGTTTTGTTTTAATTTTTAATACAAATTATATTCTTTTCCTGCCATGGAGTGATTTGCACGGGTATGGCCGTCAGATGTTTTCTGGTTCATTTGCTTTAATACAAACACGCCTTAATACAGGTCTGTTGAGGTCTCATTGTGTAGATGCCTTCTTATACTTGTAGCGATGTAACACTTTATATGTCGGAATAAAGGGACACTCAACGTCGTTTTCTGATTTTTTTAAATAGCTATACCATTAGATGAAGAGGTGGCTGTGCTTATTATTGCTTTATACTATAGTTATTAATGTGTAATTATCGATTATATTAGCTTTTCCCCCACACACTGACACTTTATTAATGTTATAGCATTTTAATTTCCTCCTTTGTGCATTATAAAGTAATAGTGCCGACATGACCGCAGTTGTAGGGCAAGTTTGGGGGTGGGTCAGTCCAGCAAATCTGTACTCGTCCTGGGGCAGTAAGGCCAAACCTGAGGAACCCCCAACAATGGACAATCAGACTAAAAGCAGATGGGGCTTATGGGGACTTACTGCCTGGGTTCGGAGGGGCGAGAACACTAAAAAGGACCAAAAGACAATCGCAGAGGAATTCTGG